CTGAGTCACTACATAAAAGTTCAACCGCGAAAGAATTACCATTTGTTGACTCTGCATCGTGTTACAAAGGTGAACTTCTCCGGCTCCGAGAAGGACGAAAGGAAGCATGCGGTCAGCGTCGAGGTTAGAGATCGGTACAGCTCGACGGTTTTCACAGTCAAAGCAAAACGTGAAATCATTCTTTCCGCATCTGCTACCCGCACTCCACTGCTTCTCCAGTACTCTGGTATTGGCCCGAAAGATGTTCTGGATACTGCCAAGGTCAGAACTCTGATCGATGTTCCCGGTGTAGGATGGAATCTACAGGATCACTCTTTTGCCCTCAGCTTGTACAACCAAACTGGCGACACTTCGTTCCCAAAGCCAACCACGATTGGGTCAAATGCCACGTACAAGGAGGAAGTATATAGCCTTTTCAAGCAAACCAACGGAGGTCCGTATACAGCTTGGGTCACAAGCAGTGGCGCTTTTCTACCTCCTGCAACCTTTGTTGGCGAAGCATTCGACGCGATGATCGAGGAGATTGCCAACCAGAAGCCTGAGGACTTCCTCCCCAACGACACCCCAAAGGAACTGGTTTTGGGCTACCAGAAACAAAAGGAGATTCTACTTGCGTCCTTCAAGTCCAAGACCAATGCTTGGCTTGAACATCCTATTTCTGGTAAGGGCTGGGGCATGTGCATTTTGCTCAAGCCTTTCTCTCGCGGCTACGTCAAGATCAACCCCGTCGATCCACTCGGCGATCCAATCTTCGACTACCGCCTCTGGTCCAACCCTATCGATAAGAAGATGCACGTTCGCATGCAAACATACATTCGAAAGCACTTTCTTGAATCGAAGGCTTTCAAAGACCTTGACATCGTCGAGCAAGATCCGATTCCTGGTGCGGTTACAGATGACGCGGGCTGGGAGGATTGGCTACTTAATCAGAATAAGCTCATGGCGTCAAATGGACATAGTGTTGGCACTGCTGCTATGATGCCTCGCGAGCTAGGGGGTGTGGTAGACGGTCAGCTGAGAGTGTATGGAACGCGGGGTCTCAGCATCGCTGATACTAGCATCATCCCTTTGATACCCGGAACTCATACACAGACAACTGCGTACGCGATTGGTGAGAAGGCTGCAGATCTGATTAAGGCCAGGCATTTGTAAAGGTTCAGATGGAAATAAAAGTAAAGCAAGCGATAGAGGAGACGAGGGCACGGAGGTTGCGCTGTATAAGGAAGCGAGTAGGTAAGGGCTTACTATTGCAGCTTATTAGTAATAGAGACAGAGGTCCGTTTTTAGTTTTGTGTAAAATAGCTGGTAGAATAATTGCTAGGACAAGGTAGCTAGGGCGAGCACCTGATTTGCGGAAACGTCATCTCGTCCCTCGCAACAAAGAAAAACCACCACCATACATTCTTGCCCTTCTACCGCTCCTGCCTAGCACCGAGCTCGCAAGATGCAACAAAAAGTACAAAAACATACAACAGCGGGGATTCGCTAGTGGTCACCCACCTAACTACTAATCCGCCGGTACACTGCTTGTATATGGCTGAGCGGACGGGAAGCCTAATTTTCAGTGTCCTATGGTCGTATGTATCATTATGGGTGGTTATCCTATTTCTATACCAGATAGTAGTCGTTTGTGAAGTAGAGTAATGTTAGTACTGGTCATCACCGCAGACTGCAAAGATGTCGATTGGCTCACTACCCTTCGATGAGCTCCTGTGTCCAGGAGCGCGTATCTCCTAGGACCTTGCCCGTCCATGCTACGATGCCCATGTGGCAACCCAGGTGTTGGGGCGTTGCGTAATCGAACGAGTGGAAACTTTTGTGGCCTTGGGGAACTTTTGAAGAAGTTGGTCGATTCCACAATGTTCACAAGGTATGACGCCCACACACACATCTGTTTCCAAGTATTCAAGTGGAGTTTGGCTTCGGATAGCGACTAGCAACTATGGAACAAAAACACTCCCGTCTCTTGATAAAGCAATTAACCAATGATGGTTCCGCTGTCTCGTTTCTGGTAATTACCAGCTTTGTTGTCCTTTGTCGTTTTTAGCATGATCCAGATGAGCTGATTGAGTTGGCTATATATGGGATGCCTTGCGAAGCTTGTAGTGAAATTTGAGTCGTTACCAAATAGAGGGGTGCGGATGGCTAAGATCTGCCATGAGAAGATGTTGTTGCAACGAGGTCTGTGACGGGGCTACCTAAGAAACAGGTTCCGACGACGTTACGGCCATGGAGAAGTGAGTACACAGTGCTCCGCTGATCGCAATGATGAGATATACATAGCCTGCCTTGCCCTAGTCGTTCCAACCTTGGTTCTCACGAGTGCGTAACCGAAATTGACTAAGAGGCATCTAGTCAGTACCGCAGTCAGACTTTGACTATCGATTGTGAGCGACCCTTGAGCGGCATAGATGATGGTGGTAAAGTTAATGCAAGCAATACACCGACAAGGGCGAGAAATTATGTGGGGAAGAGGCATAAATAGCCACGCCGTCGCGAAATGAAGCCTGAGGCATCCACATCTAGCAGCTCGCACCCAATTCGGCACACGATAGCGTCCTAATCTGCGAGAGCAGAGGCGTGATTGGCCTGTGCCTGTCGACATTCGGCGGTGGAACGGGGCGCTAGTCAGCTGCACCCAATTTCAGGGTCTCGTTAGAGTCTTGTCCGGTGTTGATCAGGGATCATGGCGGCTGGAGACTGGGAGGCGACCGAATGTGCCGGGGATGGTGATGACAGTTTAATGTGTAGGGACATGTCAAATGCCCGGCTATGTAGCAAACAAAGTATTGTTTGACATGGTGCGTAGTGTTTGCATGAGTGGCGGCTTCGCTGTGGCCTTGTTATCGCGAGCGGTCGCGACTGCCCCAGATGTTCGATAGCGGCAATCTCGGCGGCAGGTACCAACGTCGCGGCCCCTCCCTCTCGAGTCGCAGAACAGCAGCATCGTGAGCTTTCTCATGCACCGCTCCGACTCTCGCAGCTCCAACACGCCGCATCTCGCACGCAGTCTGTCGCTCATACCTGTCGCTGAGCAGTTTGACCACCGCTGGCCAGTCACGGCGCGCAAAAGGTGAGTTTCCGGCGGCTGAAACGCTGCAAGGTCCATCGTGCGTTCAGCGCCCAGAACAACACGAGCACCGCGCTATCCCCCTGCGCTCCTTAGCTCCACCTCGGCCTCTCCAGTCCATAGTCTTGAGCGCAGACTATGTATACTCGCAGACCGCCGCCATGACTGCCGCAAATCCTTCCTCGCCGCCTGATGTGAATGAAGATCTGCATCACGACGATCTTGTCCAACGCCTAAAGTCCATGTCCACTGTGAGCCCGACACCGCCTCAAGGCCCGAACAAGACACCGACTCCTACCAAAGCGCCTATACAAGACACACCACGCTCAAGCTCAAGCTCGAGCTCAAGCCAGCCCTCTGCCGACACCATGGGAGAAAGCAGCACCCTCGCCCGCCAGCTTAGCAACACCTCCGACGACAGCATGACTTCGCGCAGGCCCTCTACACCACGCTCGCAGACGGACCCCCAGCCCGACACTCTCACCTCCCTCACCACTCGGCCACGGAATCGCTCGCCCTACTCTCGTTCTCATCTTCGCTCCCAGAGCGGGTCAGCGTTGCCGAGCGCGCCGCCCATGACACGGGCCCATTCGTTGCCTACTGTCATGCAACCGTCTGGCAACCTCAGGCTCTCGCCTACCCCGATGGACCTTGCCCTCCCGGCTTCTCCTCTACGCTCGCCCAAGCGGACCCGCAGCCCGCGAGCACTGGAGCCACGGCCGCATACAGTAGGGGCCCCAGAGCGGTACGGCTCGGGTATCCGTCCGGCCTCTATCGGCTCCTTCGAGGGCGCTCCGAGTGTGTGCGATATCTCAGAAGATGCCGAGCTGGAACTCACGCCACGCGTTGGCACCACCGTGTCGAGTCTGTACAGCAGCACAGGCTCGCTCTCAAGGCGGCGTCGACCAGCTTCACCGCTCTATCAAGTCTCGGTGTCCTTCGGTGCACCGCCTACCAGTACCCCGTCGGTCAGCACTCCAACATCAACTGCCTCCTCGCCGCTCCTCGCACCATCCAGGTTCAACGAGAACTACCCCATGTCACATGCTTCATCGTCTGTACCCTCTACACCAACTTCGATGCGCTCCCGCAGTCCTTCCATTTCTTCCCTCGAGACTATCGAAGACAGTCCAGACGCAGAAGAAGAAGCTATAGAGGCCGACCGCATACGGCGCCTGAAGGCTGCCGCTGATCGTGAGGATGGTGGAGAGACCAGAAGATCCAGCTTAGATGTGCCAGAAGGCCGTGGGCGCAGTCTAGGTTTCGGCAAGCGAGACTCGAGGAAGAGGTGGAGTGTCTGCGGAGCAGAACGACGCGGCGACCTGGATCTGGAGACTATCTGGGAAGATTGATTCTCAACACTGATCTGTCAGCGTGACTGCATCTTTCGAGTGCGCGGCTTTGAGCGTACGGAGTTTTGGGGTTTGTTTTTGGCGAATGGTTGGTCTTGCACTTTTTGTTTTCACATTACGATCGTCACCCAACGCGGCTCGGACCAGCGTTCATGGATGGGACGAGGATGCGCTTTTGTTTTACGCATATGGTATGATACATTTCAACGATACGACACGACACGTCGTCGCAGCATGATACCCTCCTTCAGGAGCTTTAGTTTTGAGGCTGTCTTACAGTCTGACTTGCATTTAGTAACCTGCAATACAATACTGATTGATCTGGAAAAATCGCGCTCTCTATCGTTGACCCATTGCCTACAGAAACACGAGAAACTAGTGTCTAGTTTTGCCTACTACTGCCGGTTTGGGAAGTCCGAACAGTCGGCCAATGACATCACACTAAGACCTGGAGCTTGAAGCTTCCTAGTGGGGTTGAACGCGACTGCCCCTCGACGCGAACGACATATATATCAGGCGTCTCGTCTTCTCCATTCGCACTCAATCACTTTAACCACCGGAACAATAACACCGCCAACATGATTAACCTCGCGATCATCGGAACCAACTGGATCACCCATTCTTTTGTTGAAGCCGCACACGCGACTGGGAAATACAACCTGTCCGCAGTCTACTCACGAAAGGAAGAGACTGCCAAAGAGTTTGCATCCAAGTACGAGGGCAAGCAAATCACCACATACACCGACCTCAATGCCCTAGCACAAGACAAGATTGACACAATCTATATCGCCAGCCCGAACATCCTACACTACGAGCAAGCCAAACTGTTTCTCAATGCAGGCAAGAATGTCATCTTGGAGAAGCCCTCATGCAGCACAGTCGAGGAGTTGGATGATCTGTTCAAGCTAGCCAAACAGAAGAAGGTCGTTCTTGTTGAGGCGTTCCGCCACATCCAAGAAGCAAATTTCAAACTCCTCAAGGAAAAGATCTCCGACCTTGGTCCCCTGTACGGCGCCTCTATCACCTTCGCCCAGTACTCTTCACGCTACGAGAAGGTTCTGCAAGGCGAAGTACCAAACATCTTCAATCTCGAGATGGGCGGTGGCGCTCTCGTCGACTTGGGGGTATACTGTGTGGCTGCAGCCGTCGATCTCTTTGGCGCACCCACCTCTTCGCAGTACTACCCTGTCAAGATCGCAACGGGAGCTGACGGTGCCGGTCGCTTGATTCTCCACTACCCCAACTTCACTGTACACCTATGCCATTCCAAGATCTACAACTCTGATGCACCATCTGAGATCTATGGCGAGAAGGGCACCCTGATTGTACCAACCATCACCGACATCGACAAGATCACTTTCTGGGATCCTAAGAAGAAGTCAAGGGAAGAAGTACAAGGAGTCAAGACGCCTGAGAAGCTGAACTTGATTGAAGAGGCAAGAGAGTTTGCGAGATGCATTGAAGATAAGGACGAGGCTGCGCTAGGAAGACTGGAGCAGCATAGCAGGGATACTTTGGCGATCATGCAGAAGGTCAGGCACGACAATGGCCTTGTCTTCCCAGGAGGAAAGTAAAAGCCTGGTTTTGTAGTTGATAATAACAACATCCTCGGATGAAGATTGTTTCAAGTCACTCTATCGTAGGCTGCATGCTTCCGTCGGTTAACATTACCCAAGTCGTGCGATACCAAGCAATACGTCAAATCCAAGAGGGTACTAACGCTGCAGATCGTATCCGCCTACACTAGAGACTGGTGTATGGACGTAGGTAGCCGTGGTAGTCACTTCATGCATATCGGGGCTGATTGATCACGACATGTGACTGTGCATATTGCATCAAGAGAACTCTGTCATTGTTTCGCCCAATTCGACTACGGAACCATTGTTCCATGCCTCGCAATAGGCGTAATTCGCCCCAAGCCCTTTCACATACATCTCTCATAATAGGCCAGACTCTAGCAAGTCGATCTTCACTCTCCAAGAATTGAATGAAGCCCTTTCAAACCAAATCTCGTACAATGAGTTAAACTCTAGCAAGTCACTCTCCGTCACCAAAGAATTGAATCAAATCCTCTGTCTCCTCCTACGAATCCTTCCAAGCTGAAGTCGCGGCAAAGTATCGTATCGTACACATGTGGGTATTCTGCTTTCCTCCTGCTCGACTCGACTGATGGCGTCGACGTCGTTTTCACTCCTCCACTCGATGTGGTTATGACTTTGAAGGTAGTGGAGGTAGGGGCCGGTTTGGTGGTGGGCCTGGGCAGGGTGGGAGTGTTGTCCAGCCTTTTGATGGCATATTGTTGATTTGTGGTTGTAGTTGTGATTGACTCAGGAGCATATGGTATCCCAGTGGTTGTGATATGTCTTGCCGCTGTAGTGACGAAGCGATGTGTGGTAAGATCGCTCTGTAATACCAAGTAAGATGTATTTTGTATAAGAGATGTTCGATTGGAAAAGCTGATGCAGCTGATTGAGTTGATGGTTGGATAGAGATTCTATACAAGGAGACATACCCTCCATATATACATCCCACCCCTACGCTCGCCCAACACCAATCAAGGGGTTAAACTCACCCCCTCCAAAAGAATAGTGGATAGTCACAATCAGCGAACGATGAGAAAAGCACCGCCGATCGCCCACGTCGATCAAGAGCAGTACTCCACCGTGGTTCAACAAAGCAATGCGCCCATATTGGGATTGGCCCTACACCGCAAACGTTAGCCAGGTTCAGGGTGTCTGCTTCCGCGGAACCCAGACTATGCCTGCTCGGTACCTCAGAAAAGATGTGACGACAGGGAAACAAGGTTCAAGACCCTACTTCCCCCTCGGGGCGACTAACAAGCTGCTTTTTTTTTGCGAGCTAGTAGTCTGGTAGAGGCGCAAAGTGGCGGTAGGTGGCTAGGGATTGCTTTTTCGTGTCTTGGCGTAATATCGTCGAATGGAGAGAGCAAGAGACAGCAGAAAACGGGAATAACATGCGCGGTGTCAGTGCGAGAGTGTCTCGACTGGACTTTTACCACGTGCGTTTATGCTGTGTCGGCTTGTAGATGGCGTAGAGCGTCGAGAGCTGTCTCTTCACCGTGATACTGCATCTCAGCCTCCTCAGCGCCTTTTCCAAAAGGAATCGCAACACCCTTTACAACGAAAAGGTGTTTCGATGGGCGACACACAACAGCGGTCCAGACGTTCTTCCTACACAGGGCGTCTGCAGTGGGCGAGTGGCATGTCGTTGGTACCGAGCTGGACTCAACGTACTCGTGGCCTGTGGCTAAATCCCCGCCTTGATGCCAGATGCCAACAAACGTCTCAGCTTGTCTTCCTTCTTGGTGATCAGGCCATCATCGATGACAGACAGAGCTCGCTTCGCTTAGGTTCTTGTCGCGAAACTCTCAGCTTTGCTCCCCTCCTTACACGCCGAACCTTCCTCAGACAATGAGTCCCTGCGTCTCTTTGTGTGATTATCGTATCATGTCCCCTCTTTCGTCGGTCACCCCGAAATGTTGCTGTGTTAGTCTTCGTCCTTGGCGTATTATCCAGGATGACCAGGCCCGTCACATTGGTATGCGTCGTTCGTGCTAGAGAGATTATGCGAGCAGCATACTGGTGGAAGTCACACAAGCGCGTTTAGCACCCGTACCCTTCTTTAGTACTTAAATTGGCTTCACGCGCCGTCTGAGCCGTTGGATGTGGGCGGGTGAGAGTATAAACGTGGTGGAGCATGGTGGATCCGTGATACCCAGGCTGAAAGAAACGAGATGAGGCTTGGTGTATTGTAAGTGTACCAAAGACATGCGCCGGGTCGAACACCCTTGGCCAATCAACCGTTCTCAGACTAGCAGGTTAGTTGAGGTCCGTCTCCCGCGGATCTGGCATTTCTGACATCTGACGTGCCCGCGCATGTCACGTCTATATTGGCGCATGTGAAGAATTGCCCATGTGCACTGGCCATGTGGGTTGGTAATCGCCACTTGGGCCTCAAGATAGATTGTCAGCCCTTTTTAGTTCTAGAACTAGGTGTAAGCGACCTCGATCCGCGGGGTACACGTGGGTTGCCTGTCACAGATGCCGCAGTTCGATGCCCCTTTCGGGAGTGAATTGACGGTTGCGATGTAGTGTTGAGGAAGCCGATGGTACGAAAGCCGATACTGCCGTGGCGGCCGATATTACGTGACTCAGAAAATTCGGAAGTTCATCATATCGTGAGACAGCATTTCGAATCTAGGGGTTTTTACCCCCTCGGAGGCCCTCACGCTCAGCCTCAGCACGATCAAAGGCAAGCAGTTTTTCAGCCCGTCATCTGCAGATGAACACAATCCAACCCCCCGTTAGCTCTAAAGGCTCTCCTGGTAAGAGTAGACCTTACACTCTGCGTAGTGCCAGCCACTCATGGAAGTTGCGGTGGCTCATGGTGGAAGTTGCGGTGAGCTTACACCACTTGGACGACGTGATAATTAGAGTCTGGAGCATGCAAATGTGGTGGCTGATTGCTGTCGATGTCAACGTTGGGACCGCAAGTGCTAGTTCGTTTCAGCTGCTACAATTACCAGATTGCACTACTCTGTGATTCGCTAATCGCAATAGCTGCTCATTGGTGGCTTTCGCAGATAAGCTGTCTTGTTGGCATGGAATGCTAGTTGGGTACGTCTGCATATTGGCTGACCAAGCGTGCCGTTACCAAGGTTGAACAGAACGCAAGTTCGAGCCTTGGGAGCCTGTCGTTTCACGGATCCACTTAGCTTGGCATAGGGCAAAGCCATTGAAGAGCTTGGTAGAAGTCGTTCAGATACAAACCAACGGCGCGACTTTCTAGGGATATCGATCTTAACCATAGTGTTGGTATTGGTGGTGTTCGGCTGCTTGTAACCAAGAAGCCAACACTACAATTATAATCGGGGTTCCAAAACGGGCCGATAGGGAGAATTTATCTCGCGATGGTTCGCATGAGAATAATCACTGGCGCAAATCGATGCCCAAACACAGGCTTGATGTCATCCATCTCTTACATTTAGTTGACTCAACGTGTTTGCTGGCTTGGCAGAAGATTTCAGCTGTCCGAAGCTTCGAAGTATAGACTGCGATCAAAGTTGAGGTAGTACAGTATTCAACAGTCGTCTGACACCTTCAACGTTGGTAGAAAACTGTACCATATTGTAACGCTATCCCATGAGGTCCCGATCCACGATCGAAGAATAGGAGTGGGCTGCAGAAGTTGGACTTAGCAGCGTAGCGTCGTTGTTCAGTGCGAGCACTTGAATTATGGCGTAGCTCGACCATACTTCGCAGGAAAGACGATAACCGTTGCCTCCACTACAGTTGTGGAGATGCGAAGTTAGTGTATGTCTCACATGCATTCCGTACAGTCATAACTCACCTTGTCGCTAGGGATTGTCAGCAACAGCAGCCAAACACAGTTTGTACAGTCTCAGCAAGTGTTGTGTAGGAAGATGGTGACGTGTAATCAGACGATCTACGGTACTATCAGCCTACCTGAAGAAAATTTGGAATGTCAGATCTCGTGGCTACTAGCCCCCGCGATGTTAGGGGGTGGATACTAACCTAGTTAAACGGAATGTGTATGCTCCGTATCAAGTCATATCGACTCCACTTTGTATTCCTGGAGCACGTGTTGATTGCGTTTCTCGCAGGTAATACCCAAGTGAGTATAGCGTTTCCCAGATACCGGGTAGATCACATGGCCAACCATCGAAGGCCGTCGTACGTTCAGCCTCGTCGTCAGCGTTGCCAAGTGTTGCGGACCAAGGTGGCAGCGGGCCGCAACTACCATACCAAAAGCGTATGTTAGGATCTGAAGCTGGAAACCACATGCAATCGCCGGATGTATCTACCAGTCGCTCGACAATACGGGTCAATACCGATGCCTCAGACGAGGGGGATGACTGAGGGCAGGTGTTCTTGTAAGTTCCGGGAATATGACCTCCTGCATGCAGGATATACACTGGAGTAATACATAGTAACGGTAGCCTTCCAGAGCAGTGTCCCCACTTTGACAACGTTTGCAGCCGTGGTGTCGCCTGACTTGGCAAAACTGACAGCGGTACCTCCCTCGTTTTTGTTCCTGTTGGTGAATATCACACAAGATACCTTATGTGATATAGTCCATCCAGGGAAGACATGGTGATCTTCCTTGCAATTGCCTCATTGTCCGGGCGATTTTGTTAAGATGATCGTAGGTAGAGTCGTACCATGGTACTTGCAGATCCGGCTCGGTCCAGCGACCACATCGCGTTAGAAGCCCTCGAAACAAGTCATGGGAAAGTAAAAGCCCAATCCCTATGGATCGAGCCCCATATTCTGTATTCGGAAGACGATATGCATGTTGGAGTTGTCGTAGGAGTTGTACCATGCGCCACATAGTGGAGATGCCCCTTTGTCTCGCCTCCTCATCAACACCACTTGCATTGTGGTACTGAGCACTATCAACGCGATAATTCGGTCGGTGGCTGCTGACGGAGAAGTTGTGCTACTTTCACACTTCCTGAGACCCAATCGTTAAACAGCGGTGGATAAGGCGCTGACCATAGGGTGTGGAAACTGCGACACCGGACCTATCGGTA